CAAAACATCTGAAATTTATGGGGCTAGGAGAGCAAGTCAAAAGTCTATCATACAATCCAAAACGCTGCTGTGAACTTCTGTAATGCAGATGGTGCTACTCAAAAAAGAGTGGGGAAGGAAAATGTGATGATTGACACCTTTTTTTTTTTGACCGAAATAAATATGTGAGGCATTACGTGTCAGTTGGCCAATGTGCGTATGTGATATACAGACATAATCCCTGGTTTCCAGGAGCAGTCAGACAGAACTGACTTTGGAAAGGAGGCGCTTCTGGCTCTTGCACTGTGCACCTTGCCCAGAAAAGCTCTGACAGCTTCATCCACCTGCTACATACAAAACTGCTCTAGTTTGTCACAGTAAGTGCTACAAATCCTTGAGCAATTTTGAATTTCCTAGACATGACAATAAGCCATTTCCATCCCAAAGGAATAAGACATCTCCCATAAGACTCAGACAAACTGTCTGAGTGTGCTGAGATGCAGGGATGACTCAGGCCTTTGTTGTTTCCTATTTGTAGCCCCTTTGCAGACCACCTGCTTAGTAACTGCAGTGGAGGCGGGTGAATAGGAGCAACTCCTGGCCCAGAGAGGGTCCCTGAGATTGGCCTCACCCAGCGTGCCAGACGAATGTCACAAAATGCAGCCAGGCCACAGCAGGCGTGCCAAAGTCAGGCTGGCGAGTCTTTGCCGTAGGCAGTCTTTAAATGTTTGTAGATTGGACCAGTGAAGCCTTCAGTAGCAAAAAAATGTGTTTCTGGGCAAGCTCCAATGATTTCTGCATTTAAAGTTTATCAAAAGAGGCTATGAATACACATAGCAGGACATTGCTCATCGTTAGAGAAAATCATCATGGCTCTCATAGAACTGGTTTGTTTTTTTTGGTCCCTGGGCGTCATGAACTTGTACTGTGCTAGAAACTGTGTAGTTTGTTTGCTTACATTCAAAACACTGTGTGATTTTCTTGTTAGATTGGTATGAGTCTCTTTTTTTTTTTTATCATGGAAATTGAATATTGCTAGAAACGCTTAGTGCAGAAAAGAGTAATCTATGAGAGTCTAAGTACTGGGAAATAAATACGTTGATGGAACCCATATTTGTGTTGGCAGGTCATCTGGCAAGCAATCCTGTCATTAGCACTCTGGCATCTCACATGAACAAATGCTGACTAGAGACAGGAAGAGTTGAGCAGTCATGCCAAAAAGCCATGTGGGAAGAAGAAGGTCCAATAAGACTATTTCTAATGTAGGAAAGAATTGAACTACGTATCAAAGTCAAAAGACTTTTTGAAAGTTGGAATTCAGTTGACCTAACTTTGCAGTTTTATTTAGCAGTTAAGATGAGAGTATTATAACAATGCACACTTTGGGCAGAAAATTTGTTTGATTTTAGAAACGAAAAATATATGAAGCGTAACTGAAGGAAATTTCAAAGGCATGAAGCAGAATTGGGCTCTTGTCATTTATTCCAGTGCAGAGTTTGGAAGAGAACTCAAAGAAATAATGAGTTTGGCTTGGTTCTCTGTAATAATTATTCTGGAAGTTTTGCTGCAAGCAAAGAACACACCAACAAAGTCTAGTTTCATCTGCAAGCATATACATTAAATGCATTGTAAACGATTTTACTTCTTTCAAGTTCTGAAATGCAGAGCTTGGTTTTTATTCAAGCTTGGAAGGTCTCACCAGGAAGATGCTGTAATTTCTGAATTATTACAAAGAAAAAAAGATAAAAGAGTTGATGATCCTTGAAAAACTGTTCACATACAAAATCACGTATTGAAAAGCTTTGAGGAGGGTTCAGAAAGCTTTAAGCATTTGGGAAGCAGTTCAGAAACCGTTTCCAAACTGTTTCACTGTGGAATGATTGATGGCATTTTTGTTAGATGAACTGTCAGTCTAGTAAATAAGCTTCATTCAGACAAATAATATCATATTCATTTTTTATTAGGAGAGTTTGTTTTTAGTGACAAAGGATCTTGTTTGCAAAGTCTACCTCAAAGACTCCCTCATCATCAGCAAAGAGATAAGCAAGCCTTCAAAAATACTGATTTTTATTTTCACAGAATCACCGAACGTTAGGGATTGGAAGGGACCTCAAAGGATCATCTAATCCAATCTCCCAATTTATTTCTATTCAATTTATTGAATTTATTTTCTTTTTATTTCAAGTAAGAAAAAATCTCCCAATTTATTTCTATTCAATTTATTTTCTTTTTATTTCAAGTAAGAAGTCAGTCTTAGTTTCAAAATGTTGCAGTTTAAGAGTACCTACATAAGATGCAAGAAAGCCCTGTGGCCTTCTGGCCATAAGGACAGAACTCAAACTACAGGACCCAGGCACCATCTGGCAAGACACCTTCTTGCCCTCTGTTGTGCGCTTCTCCTTTGGCTGCTACGAGAAGTCTGGTGGCGTTTTAAATTAGAACTCAAGACATGCAGTTCAATGTCATCCTAGGGTAACATTATGAAAAATAATTGGAGGTGATAGTTGCGCAATAGCTGAAGCGATGTGATGTTTCTCCATTAGAAACCGGATAGGGAATGAAGCAGACCAATCGCTGTTCCCTGCCTTGGCCAGCGTCAAAGCAGTGCAGCTGTGGCAAGAGATTTCTCAAGGCTGTTAGAGAAGGTGGTCCTACTGGTTAAGTCAATTGTATGAAAACTGAAACACCTTGAAAAACATTGTTATTTTGTTTTGGTAGAGAAAAAAGGAGAAGACTTCAAGGATATAATATTGCACTTGACTATTTTGAATAGAAGATGAGAATTGGATATTTCCCTGTTTTCGTTTTTCTTAGAGGTAGGAAATGCTGTAAGCATTTGAAAACCTGACACTAGGAAAGTGCTTTCCCGATGACAGCCTCACCTTAATATCTCAAACGTCCTCTAGTTTTGTAGAAACGAGTACTGCATGCTGAGAAATCACATATATAAGCTGTATGCATAATTCACTAAGGTACAATCTTGAGAATAGAGGAATCAAATTCTGAAACTAGAGACACTATGCACAGACATCTATTCTCCTGAGTTAATAAGGCTACAAGCTCGTTGGTTTTACAAGCATTCTGTGTGGATTTACTGGTTCAAGTAGTCAAGAAATGAATGTGTGTACTATCACTATAAATACATACTGTACATATGCCTCTTTTATTCAACAGGGAGAAATGTAAGTTCACAGAACTGTAATAGTTCTTTCAATCCAAACAGGCAAATCACTCAATATAAGTATGCAGTTACATTTACTATTTAACAAAACAATTATTTATATTGATCTTTTTAATCTGTTCACTTCCTCATCACTTTTTCTAGTAGTCAATTGCTCCATAAATCTGACAATTCCTTACTGAAGAGCTGTTAAAGAGATACTATATTGCAAAGAGTAATCTGCCAGGTTTGTTTTCTCACGTTCTCCATCGTTTTTGAAAACTTTGCATTCGTTAGTAATTCAATGCAGTATAAGTGACATTAGGAAAGGATGGTTCAAGCTTTGAAAACTAGTGTCTGAAGTTCTATCTTTTCTTTGCAGAGAAATTCTTTTGGTTTGTTCCCTGTTCCCACCCACCTGAAGAGTATCAAGATGTCTTGCAGAAGACATATCCTCAAGGATAGTTACAAACTCTTCATACTCTTCGTGATCTGAAACTTAAAACAAAAACAAAGTTCATCAATACTATTTTTTAAGTTTTATTATTTTCTGAGAATAACTTCTTATCAGAGTTTTCTGTAAGAATAATCATTAAGTTGTTGTGTTGGTTTTGTGGGGTTTTTTTAGCAAAGGTGTATTTAGGAAACATTTATAAACATCAACTAAGTGATTTCAATTCCTTCCATGTATTTCAGTGGACTTTGAATTAGATCTCTAAATATATGATAGATATGGAAGAAGAAAAGAAAGACTTGTGAAAGAAGCTGTCATCATCACTGGAAGATGAATACTTTCTAAACAAATAATTCTGCAGAACTAATTGGTGATCATAACAATCATCTCATGACTATCAGCAAATTGTGGTGCTTTCAGCTCTTTTAGTTACTTTATGTCTCAGCAGAGTATGTAGTTGTGATGTACAAGCAATGATACATGTATCAGGATATACAGTTAACTTTAGCAATACAATTTCCAGATTTTTATTGTATCTTTTTTTTTTTTAAACAATTCCTTGTCATGTTCTGCCATGGTTTAGTATTTAAGGCCATGAAAATTGTGAAGCTATCAAGGTAAATTGAAAAATTGCTGAGATATAAATATAGTGCAAGCTCTGTATAAGAAAAGCAGTGCGTGTTCTTGCTGTTCATGTCCCTTTGAATCTTAGCAGTTGCAGGAAATATGGAAAAACATGTCTAAAATGGCCAATATTCCAGTGGAAGGAAATTAACTGCTTTTATAAAGTGATAGGCTGGATTCTAGAGAAACTGCCCTATGTAGCAGTCCATTTTGAGTCTAAGGAGGTAAGTGAAAGGCACGAAATGGAACACGTTTTGCCAGCTCGCAATGACTTGAGGTCCCAGCAGGGAGAGACTGTAGACAGCTGAAGTAAGCTAAAGCAGTTCATAAACAGCTTCAACACAAGGCCTGAATCTTTCCCAGAATCCACAAGTGTCAGAGGAATATTTGTTCTGAAAATGCATTTTTCTTTTCCTCCTTTACCCCCACTCACATCCAAGCGTTTGCACAAAAGAAAATGTAATTTAACTCATACTTCATTATGATCTTGCTTAGTAACATATGAAATAATGTTCATGACCATTTTGACATGGTCAATTTTCAGATAGAAAGTCTTGTTTACTTGTACAGAAGTAATCCTTTACAAGAGAGTGCTTTAATAAGAGCATATATTAAAGCATTCCCTTTATAAAATTTGCTGAAAATGCAGTGTATAAAGTAGTTAACAGTTTGCAATATATGGCCTCGTTTTTTTTGTCATTATCCTGAATTTTCAAATGTGACTTGTTTGAATTTTTTTCTATATTAACTGTTCATTTTATGTACTTTATTTCCTGTGCCCAGCGAAATGCCTCAGCAGAGAAAGAGAATCTTCATGTGGCCTCGAGAAAGGAAGAAAATCAGAGCATCCAGGAATGCGATTCTCAAGATGTAAGCTTAACTCACCTAGATGTAAGCTTAGCTCACCTAGAAATTAGAGTGTAGTCTAGACTGTATGAAAACATTAATTCCTTAGGTGATTATCCATGTGACTTACTTTTCCTAGTCAAGCTGGTACATGTCTTTTATGACCCAGCTGTATTCTGCATTAAAGTGCTGAGGAGCAAATGCACTTTGTTGTCAATCTATGCAGGAAGAAGAGCAGTGGAAAAGATGTGATTTGATGTTTAACCATTTCAAGGATGGGCTCATTCCTGGTTGAAGAGCTGCTGCACCACAGCGAGATGCAGAACCTTGTTTACATATTGTTTCCACTAATAATTGGGCATAGCTGTCACAGATGCTTCATTTGACAAAACCTTCAGGGAGATGTAAGAGGTGACAGCGTAATAGTTGAAAGTATGTAATCTCCTCTACTGCCAGCCTAGGGAAGCCGCAAGCTGCGTTTTTCTTGTGACACGTCTGACAGAAACCTAAATCTGCTGCTTTAACTGAGGCAAAGCTCTCATTCAAACAGCATGGTGTGGGAGCTGTTAACAGAAATCCCAAATGCTTGTATTATGGCTGCAACTATGATACAAATACAACAGGAGAAAACAGTAAGAATGAGAGAGACAAAATTTGTTGAGAGTGTTTGCTCAGTAGTCCAAAAAGTATAGTGCTAACTTGACTAACTCGCAGATGAAAGAGAAGACGGGGAAAACCCTGTCACAACGGTTCTTGAATGAACTAATGAATGTGTTACCTCTAAATAAAGCAAACTCCTGTGGAGGTAACTGGATAGCTTGCTGGTAGCAATCATAGCAATGTGTAGCAATGTGAAGAAAAGTTTGGAAAACAAATCGTAGATATTTCAGTATCCAACAAATTGTAAAAAGCTCTATATATTATCCATGTATCACAAATACATTATTAGTTTTCTTAATTATCAATCATAAGTGACTTCCCCTCTACCACATCCTGTAGAACGGGACAGAGACAAAGAGAAATTACGTATCCAGAAAAGTGCATAATTCACTGTTGCACCTTTCTTACTGTCTAAAGAGGAAGGAAACTTCATTTTTTACTAAAAAAAATCAAGAAGGAGCAGGAAGAATAAGATGCCAAATTCTGAAGCAGAAGTGAACACCATCTAGATTATGTCTAGAGGTTGCTTACCACCTAGGAAAGTTATGGGAAGTTTGGTGGAATATAGGCTACTTTAGGTAGAGGCTGGATTTATTTAGGCTGAATGTTTCTGGAAAGAGATTTAAGCAACTTTTTTATTTTTTGCAGAAGTGAATACGTTAAAGCAGAGGAAAAAAAAAGTCATTAAAGCATTTCACAAATCAAGAGAGTATTTGATTTCTGTATAAAGTCATGCAATGAAAGACAACTAAAAGATGCACTTTTCCATAAAAGCATGGATTTAGTTATTTTTATTAGGAGGTGGTTGGTTTTCGTACTTCTAGCAACTAGTATTTTTAGCCATTTAGTTGGCATGGTATGCTACTTGGTATGAAAAATTGTGTGAGAAAGCAGAAGACAACTCTAACTGGAGTTAGAATTCTTGGAGAGTCAAATCATTTTTCATGATTCAAGTTAAATTAAAATCTAACTGTTCCCTGCTGCCTTCTAAGTAGCATTGTCATTCAAAGAAAAAGAAATCGGGCTATATATCTAAAGTTGAGTCATAAGATTAAGCTTTATATCATTTAATATCTCAATTAACATATTTTAAGACTAATTCTATGTTCCACAAGACTCACATTTCCTTTAAAGTTAATATCTTCAAGATTTTCTAAATATACATTTGACAAAAACATGCTGTATGGAGAAAAAGAAGTAAAATTGGAGAAAACATACCATAGGGATGTTCAAATTCACTGTGCTTTGCTAGGTGATATTCCTTATTGGAAAATTGGTTTCCTAAAGATTCATATTACTTCAGTAGTACAAAGCTGTGATTTGTATGTGTGAACACTATCACTTTGATAAAATTCCAGACTTGGGAATACATTAGAGTTTTTCTCATAATTTTATCATTATTCAATTGTATGTGTGTTTGTGTGTTTTTACGATTGTTAAACTCTCAGTGAAGGAAGTATAGGATGGATGGTTGAGAATGTAAGATGGGTTCTCATGTGCCGTTTGTTTAAGTAGAATAAATGAAGGTTGAGGCCAAGATATAAGACCAGGACCTTAATTAAATATGCTCAAAAGTCTGTCCCTTAGAAATCTAATACTTCAATAACACTTTCTCAGAACTTTGCAAAGATCCTCTGATTGTGTCTCTGACAAACAAAATATGATTTATGTTTTGGAAGAATTACTGCAGTAAAGACTGACTAGAGAAGAACAAGCAATATTTCAGTTATTAAGGCAAAAAATAAAGGGAAATAGCTAGTTTTTGGTCTCAACCAATATTTTTAATTCCATATGGCTAAACATCCCTCTGTCTCAAATTTGTAATCCTACTGCAATTTCTTTATGGTTTTATGCATTTTCATAATAATTAATGTAGTTTACATTGGAGTGAATACAAATGAAGATTTGTTTACAAATGGGATACAAGCAGGCCAAATTATATTAGCAAATTTTTAAATTGGATACTATTGATACCTTAGCTGTCAGGAAATTTGACGTGAAACCTGTAGTAGCTAGAAGTAGGTAGGATATCCTGTAATACATAGTCTTCATGATTTCAAATAATCTGAAATTTGTCAAAGACCAAGAAAATCTTAACTTCAGTTCTCCTTTAAAATTTTCCATTATTTAGATTATTATTATTTTGTTAAAAGACACTTGTCAATACTATTTTTCTTAGTCTTGTCCGGAGACGTTTTCTCTATGACTAGCTCCTGAAAGTCTCTGTGCAGAACTAGAGTCTGCAGAGCTCTTTTCCCTGTATCTTTTACCTTTTCCCAAAAGCTTTGGGGACCGTTTTTCAGCTTTTATACCAGAATGCACTTTGTCCCTTTTTCATATCAAATAATTCTTATGTGCGTAACACGTCATTTAAAACCAACCATTCGGTAGTGCTAAAACATCAAACAGTTTATAAAGTAATTCTTTGTTCTCTGTTTTCATCTTAGATTTCTTGCTCTTTGTCCTTGTAGAGTCTTCTCTGATAAATAAAAGTGATAGTGCTTTTATTTACTGCCTGAATTTCCTGCAGTAAACAAACACTGCCAGTTCATTAATCATTCAGTGACAAAGGACACTGAGTATTGGAGCAAAACTTGTACATGTTTCTAAGCAACCACAGCATTTTGCTTCATTTTTCTCCATCAGTTTCAATTGCAGAGCTTTGATCGCATTGTACTCTCCCATTGCTTTCCCAGGGGAATAATGAGAGAAAAAATAAATTATCACTATAAAAAAAAATTCAACCTGATGAAATTCTTAAAGTGAATTCAGTAATTCTGTTCCCTAAATGAGGACTAAGGGAAGTCATAAGAATTTACATCAACTTAGCTTAACCACGCACTCAACACGCAGTGCTCTAAAATAGGAGAGGGATATGGAGAACTGCAGAGGTGTCTTGTGAAATCATAGATGCACATTTCACATACATCCTGTTCCATATCTTTCTTATAAACAATGAGGGTCAAAGGAGATTAAAATACAGATGTCTTACAAATTCATAAGCGGATCTGATAAAATATGTTCTTGAATAAACTGTGGACCTAACTTGGCTAACGATGTTAGTTCCACTGCAGAATGACATTTTAGTAGAACGTTATCTATTCTACATATCTGTATAGTGGTAAATGTAAAAACAAACTATTAATGAATATTTTTGTAGAAGTATGGGAATTGTTTTGACATGAAAAAAAGAGAAAACATCAAGTCATATTCAACAGTAGTTATAACTGTACATAGACTACTGATTTCATTCAAGCTGTTTGTCATATGGCAGCACAAAATTGTCATTTCCAGTCTCACTTTGGTAACAGGTCCCTTCAGAAATGGGAATATTTTTGTTATTATGAGCGGGGAAGAAAAAATACAAACCAGTCAAAATATGCATTCAGTGCGGGAAGAAAAAAAACATTTTGGAGAAGTGTGTACTTCATGTAGTAAAGAGCTAAAATCTCATGATTCAAAAAATTTCAGTCACTCCGAGGTAAAAGTAGTAACAATTTGTTATATGAATTAAATAGAACTTGGTCCTTTTAAAACATCAGTGGTCTGTGGCGTACATGGTAGGCCAAAAAGCACACATGATTACTGACAGACTAGGCTTTAATAACAATTCAAACATGAAAATATTGCGAAGTTTGATAGAATTTGTAGGTTTTGTCTAACGAGGAAATACAGCCTTTTCCTATTTTAAATACAAATTGTTAAAGTTCTTTCACTTTTAATTAGTTTCAGTTTGAAAGTTTTAGGTAATTTTAACCAAGTTTGTCTATTCAATATTTTAGATCATATGAACAAATAATAGAAGAAATACAGAAATATCTGAAGATGCAAATTTATCTGAACAGTTCCAAAGAGATATCTCATCCAAGCATAGTCAAAATTCAATGGTATTAACCTTTTTCTGCTATGTGAGTTACACTGGTTTAAGCTAATCATTGCCATCGTAAGTGGGCAAATTGTCATGCTCCTTTTGCCTACCTAGTGCTTTGTAGAGCCGAGGAGACTGGCTTGTGACAGTAGGAACAATACAGCTGAGTACCACTTTCATTAAGATATCTAGTTTGTCAGTTGACCTAATTGTGCCATCCTTTTCTCCTGTACCTAGTTTAGTTTCTTCAGAACTAGGTCAGTCCTCCCTCCTCCATTGTATTCTGCAAACATCTCGCGTTTCTGCTTTAGTACCTGCTGAAGCCAGAAGGAGGGCTGTAGTGATGTGAAGGAATACTGAAGCTGCAATATTTGGTCTACTAAATCTGTATGGTACCCTTTAGCAACAGTGGAATTATTTTCCAGCTGTAAAAGCTGAATATAATATCACTTATTTAAACTTCTTTATATCCTGTCCACTTGTGACACGCTGGATG